GTTAATGCTATAATCTTTTTTCTAGGAGAGCAAATTTTAAGTGTCTGTTAATTAAGAAACACATACAATAGGTGAATAAAGTTCCAAATGTTCAATGACACCTTAAAATTTGATAGCTATTTTACTCCACAAGTATCTGAAAAACTTCTAACAATACACATTAACTCATTTAGCTTTCATATTAATCACTCTGTTATCTTACTTGTTGTTTTCTGGGCTTATAAGATTTTGACTTCCCACTTAATTTCCATGTCTTTTCTTAAATCTTCAGCCTTTACTTTTGGAGTGTGTTCCTGGCCAGATACTTTCACCTGGACTTGCTTTAATCTACGCTGTATTTACCAATGAAAGAAAAATGTTCTTTCTGCTTAAATATGTAATTTATTCTCCATCTGCATTCTCCTCCCCTCCCCATAACACACATACACGTTGTATTTACCCTCTCACCCACTCACTCAGGCATGCACATACACCATTTACATGAATTCTCAGAAAAATTTCCCCAACCATTAAATGAGCAAATGCTTGTAAACCATAGAGTGCTATCTATATTTTGAGACACTGGTGTTTCATAGGACACTAATATGAATTAGACAAAGCAAGATAACAATACAGGTTAACGCTTTCCCCACCAAAGACTATGAAAAAAATTATCATTCTGAGACCATGCCCCCTAATTATTAGAATCCTAGCTTCTCTGACACTCCCACCCAATAATCCCTCCTGGTTCCTAGCTGACAACTAGGGGAAGGGATTTCAGAAACTCTCCTGGCTTTAGCAATCAGATAATTAACCATCATCAATAGCACATACTTTTCATAAGGCAGGCTTACCTTCCTGTCTTATGTCACAGCTCCTACTTCTAGAGTTGCCACTGCAGCCATGGCGACAGTTCTGCTGCCTGTATCACTGTCTCTATTCTGGCAATGTGTTGTTCCGAGGCTAGGAGATGTCTCCCCAGGTAGGACCCTTGACTTTGTAAGGCATAGTGGGGCCAGGCTCAGGGAGTGATCTGTGAGTATCACTTAGCTGCCTGTCCTCCACAGCCTGGTTGTGGCCACTTCTCTTGCACCTGTTTGATCTATCTGCTGCTACCTGGATATGAATGTGTCTCCCTTAGGATGCCTACCTAGCATGGGGGCTAAGGGAACCCTCACCTCAGCACTGACCTACTTTTATTCCTTGTGCATGCCTATTCTTCTCCAGAAAGCTATCTCAGGACTGGTGAGAGCTCTGAGTAGCCAGAATTTCTAGAGAACATCTTCAAATTTAGCCCCTTCCCTTCTCTGGTAATTATTGATGGTGGCAGCTGTTGTGTGAAAGCCAATGTGTCTATTTCCCTGGATACACCGCCCCCAACTTTGTTCCAAGGGTCACCCAAAATGTTAAAATATATAATATTGTGTGTACTGTGCTTTCTCAATGCTTTGACATATTTAAACATGGGAGAGCCCATGCTTAAATGCATCTTAATATATATCACAAATAATTATTATCTGCCAGTTGTAATATTGTCATTCATCATCCATCTCCCTTTCTTGGAAAGAATTCTAGGCAAATGCATTATTTCTGGTGTTTCACAGTGTTTCTTATTTCTATTATTCTGACCACACCCCTATCTGTCCAGTATCTTAACTGGTTATTTGCAGCATTGCAAGATCTCTTGATTAACTACAAAATTATGTCAACTCTAGAAACTATCTTATTTTTAAATAACATATATAACAATATTAATTAATCCTTGATGCCAATTATATTTTTGGCCTGAGATTAAAAACAAAACAAAAGAAAAGAAAAATGCCTGTTTCTAAAGTCTGCTTTATATTATGACTCCTGACATTTATAATGTGTGTCAGTGGCTTTTAAAAGTTCCTTTAAATAATATTTTTTGCAGACATAATGTGTTCCATGTTTCAGTAAGATCATCTTATAAAAGATTATATAAGATTCTGGATGCTAGAATCTCGATTATAGCAATCAACTAAGATCTACCCCATTCAGATACTAACCCTGTGAAAGAATGGTCAGATTTGGACAAGAAAAGGTGAGATCATTTGGGAACAATCTGAAAATTATAGAAATAATGTCTGAGACGACAAGAGAAAGAAAAAAGGAAATAAAGATAGTCTGGTATGATGGGACTATTAATTTCTATTTATCCATGGACTTCATAATAATGGCAAAAGCTTCTGCTAAGAGTGACTAAACCTAGTATAACTGCAATGAGAAGTCTGTATGTTTACTGCACAAGCCTAAATACAACTAACCTTAAAGCACATATGCTGGTTACCAGTCTCTTATTCCTCCTGAAGAAACTGATATTCAGTTTTAATTAGAAAATAATTCTTATTTGTATCAACACATTTTACATTCTACTTCTATAATCAAGTCCAAACAACAGACATTGAATGCTGAATCTTTATCAACTAACTGATTTTTATGGAAGGCTTATATTCTTTGTAATACACTTTGGCTGGTTGTGGCTGTATGATGCTTTGGTTCTGGGTCTAATTGGAGCATCTGTCTGGCAGTCCCATTAGGATCAACATTCTTGGTTTTGGCAAACAGAAGACATTTTAAACCCATTTTGGTGGGAGGAGTCAATTTTTGCTTAAAGAAAAAAACAGAAACAGATCTCCTGCAATATGAGTATCAGAGTCTCATGCAACATCATTAAACATCCTCCTTAGCCAGCTGGAACCCAAGGAATTAGTTTCTAATCAATTTATGTTTATTATTTTCCTGGTTACATAGATACTTAAGAAATCTTTTCCTAAAGAACAAATATTCTTTGATTTGTGCTTCATTCAGTCCTCCGTTTGCTATTTGATCACCTACTAAATGCACAGATAACATTGGACTCTTCCACATCGAATTGGACCTAACTCCCTAAACTTTTCTTTTCCACCAAGAATCCCATCATACCAAATTATCTTTATTTCCCTTTTCTTTTCTCAGACATTAATTCTGTAATTTTCAGATTGTTCCCAAATTATCTCACCTTTTCTCATCCAAATCTGACCATAAATAACACAACACATTTCTGGCTGCCACCCACAGAAAAATAGTCCTGAAACCTAGACACTTTTTGGTTCCTGCTTCTCTAGAGCCAACAACACTAATTTTTCAATATCAACTCCTGCTGACTAAGCGGAGTTTAAAAGAAGTGGAGGTTACAAAGTAGAGAATATTTTGGTTATATTGGAAATATGAGCCAGAACTCCTGACATGAGTTGTTAAGTAGAAACCTATTTTGTTCTTATGTCATAAACACCTATTATTTGTCTTTTAAGCTCTCCCAGTCTTTCTGGAAACTAAACTCCCCTACTTTTTATTTGAAACAGGGCCCTTCTTTAAACCTAATACATATGAATATTCCTTATTGGTTTATCAAGCCCAGAAAAGATCAAAGACCTAAACATAAGAGATAAAAATTATAAACTCTTAGAAGAAAATATTGGAGAAAATCTTCATGATATTGGAGTTGACAACAACTTCATGGATATGCTACCCAAAGCACAGGCAACAAAAGAAAAAATAGGTAAGTTAGACTTCATCAACATTAAGAACTTTAACATATCAAAGAGAGTAAAGAGAGCAAAAACAACCTGCTAAATGGCAGAAAATATTTGCAAATCATGTATCCGATAAGTGATTAACATCCAGAATATAAAACACTACAAATCAACATTGAAAAGATTAAATAACCCCCTCAAATTGGCAAAGGACTTGAATAGACATTTCTCTAATGAAGATAGTGAAATGGCCATTAAGCATATAAAAAGATGCTTAACACATTTAATCATTAGGGAAATGCAAATCAAAGTCACAATCAGATACTACTTCATACCTACTATGATGGCTATAATTTTAAAAGTGGAAAAAAACAGGTGCTGGCAAGGATGTGCTAAAATTGGAATCCTTGTGCCTTATTAGTAGGAATGAAAAGTAGTGCAGCCACTGTGGAAAATAGTTCACAGTTTTTGAAGACATTAAGCACAGAACTACCATATGACCCAGCAATTCCATACCTAGGTATATATCCAAAGGAATTGAAAGTAGGGGCTGAGCACAGTGGCTCATGCCTATAACCCTACCGCTCTGGGAGGCTAAGGCAGGAGGATTGTTTGAGCTCAGGAGTTTGAGACCAATCTGAGTAACAGTGAGACCCCATCTCTATAGAAAATAGAAAAATTAGCTATTCTGGAGGCTGAGGCAGGAGGATTGCTTGATCCTAGGAGTTTGAAGTTGCAGTGAGCTATGGTGATGCCACTGCACTCTAGCCAGGTTGACAGAATGAGACTATGTCTCAAAAAAGAAAGAAAGAAAGAAAGAAAGAAAGAAAGAAAGAAAGAAAGAAAGAAAGAAAGAAAGAAAGAAAGGACTTGAACAGATATTTACACACCAATGTTCATAGCAGCATTATTCACAATAACCAAAAGGTGAAAACAACTCAAATGTCCATGGACCAGGATAACAAATGGATAAACAAAATGTAGTGTATACATAATACATACAATGTAATATTATTCAGCCTTGAAAAAGAGTAAAATTCTGACACATGCTATAACATGAATCAATCTTGAAAACATTATGTTAAGTTAAATAATCCAGAAACAGAAGGACAAATACAGTATGATTCCACTTATATGAAGTACTTAGTATAGGCAAACTCATACAGATAGAAGGTAGAATAGAGGTTACCAGGAGCTGGGGAAGGGGGAAAAGGAGAAGTTATTGTTTAATGGGTAGACAATTCTTGTTGGGGATAATGAAAAAGTTTTGGGTATGGTTAAGGGTGATGGTTACACAACATTGTGAGTGTTGTTGACTGAATTACACACGTATGTATGGTTAAAATGATAAATATTATGTTTATTTTACCACAACAATAAAAGAAAGAAAAAGAAGAAAGTAAGGAAAGAAAACAAAAGAAAAGAAAAAGAAAGAAAGAAAAGAAAAGAGAGGAGAAAAGAAGAGAAGAAAAGAAGCCCTCTCACCTTTTAGATGGAAACTGGGGAAAGAGAGAGTTCTGTGTTCTTGGCGGCAGCAGTCTGGAATGGAGATTCTGCCTTGCTAAGCTGGGCCTGGGGAGGAAAGCAGCAGTCTTGGATCAAGCAAACACTATAGACTCTTGCCAGTCTTCTCACATTTTTATAGATTTTTCTTGAAAAGAGGTTTCTTCTTTTGCTGTTTGCCCTTAGGACCATTTTCAGAGGATATAAATAGTTATTTTTCTATAATTTTCACCAGTTTCACTGGGAAGTGAGTTAGAAGAGATCCTTATTTGGTCATGGCAGAAGTGGGTCATGCCAGAAGTCGGTCATGGCAGAAGTTGATTTTCCATGTCAAATGTTGATTATGTCATTTAATTTGAAGGATTGGTTATAACATTGGTACATTGGTTATAAAATGAAATCTTTAGGATTAAAATGTTTTCTTGAGAAACGTGGCCACATTACTAAAAACCAAGGTGTTTCTCCCCCACCCTGCATGGGACTTTTAGTAACTCCATTGCTGTCCTTTGTTTTTTGTTTTTTTTTTGAAAAACTGAAGCTTGACAGACATTTCATTATTTTGGGGGAAAGGCAAGGCTATACAGAATCCCTATTGCATGTTGAATAAATGCATGCATGAATGAATGGTTTTGTTTATGAATATGGTAGCCATTTCTTACTGTGTGCTTTTACAGTAAGAGTCCCTCTGTACCAGCCTATTCCTGAATCCTTAGTTCTACCATTCAAATGCTTAGTTTGGGCTGCTATAATAAATCACCAGAGGCCAGTGGCTTAAGCTGCACACATTTCTTTCTCAAAGTTCTGGAGTTTGGGAAGTCCAACATCACAATGCAGGCAGATCTGGTATCTGGTGAGGGCCTGCTTCCTGGCTGTCTTGTATTCTCACATTGTTAGGTCTGGTGATGGGTAAACAGCGGGCGAGGGAATGGCTAAGGGTATAGAGCGGAACCGAATTGTAGCTAGGAACTGTTCCCTAGTGGGAACATACATGGTAAAAAGTTCCTAGTAACCTTCAACTGACTTAGAGGTCATTACCATCTAATTAGCATAACATGGGTGGAACTTCATGGAAAATTCTAGAAAAGATGTATGTGCAGGAAGGGAAACTATTATATAGCCTATCTTGTTATGCAACCTGTCATGTGATCTGTTTTATAACACCAACATGTCAGTTACACCCAAAAGCCAGAAAGGCAGCCAGGGGAAAGGTGCAAACTAATGGGTTTGTAAAAGCCAACATGTTCAGCCTCCAGCGTCCCTTTCCACTCCTGAACACTGACCGGTTCTACTCTCTCTGGAACTTATTTTCCTTTTGTGTAGCTTCCTTTACTTTCATTCTTTCTTTTATATGATAAACTGTGTTAAGTTGCTCTGTGTTTGTGATCACTCCATCAGAGCTTTATTTAATGAAAATACATAGTATCGTGCGAGTGATATATTCCAAACCAAATACAAACTTTTAGAGAAAAAAGGAGAGGCAGGTGGGAGAGGTTGGGCGCCCGGGTGATCCATTGCTTGGAGCTCGGCTTAGCCAGGCTGGGGGTCCTGCGAGGGGCTGGTGAATCGGCGCTCGGCCGGCCTTCGAGCTGCCGGCGTAGAGGTGAGGACTGGGGCGAGGAGGACGCCCCGCGGGGAAGGTAGGGAGCGGGGCCGGACGCTCGCGGGAGACAGGTCCTGGGTCCAGCCGTCGAGGGAGTGGTCTGCCTCTGGAGCTGTCTGCCTGGCAGGCGGCGGGCGGGCGCGGTTTGTTGTCGGCCAGCCGGCCCCAGCCCCCTCGCCCGCGCCGGGCTCCTCAGCCGCGTTTCCAGTCAGAACGCGGCGAGGCCTGAGGCGTGCTCGGGCGCGGGGCGGCCCGGCTCCCGCTCGGGTAGGACTCCCACAGAGCTGGCTGAGTGGGGTTTTGTTCTGGTGACTCCTGGAGTCTGTGTTTGTGTTCAGGTGTGTGTCGTCCCCTGCGTGAGAGCTGGTGGGGCTTGCGCATCTGTTCTAGCCGTCTTGTTTCACAGCGACGGGAACTGAGATGGGGGGGTGAAGTGACCGGCCCCAGCGTCGGGGACTTGGGCCACACACGGGGCCCTGAGGCTTCTGCCCTGCGGGTAGGAGACTGGGCAGGCTTGCTTGGATTTAGGATATGCACTAGGAAATCCACAGGGATATTTTTGTCTTAGGTCCTCATTTGGTTCCAGGCCATACCCTTCCACTGCCCCGTCATACCTGGGGAGAGGGAGTGAGATCTGGGGCTCTGACGATCGTAATAGTCCTTTCCCTGGCTGAGTCTCTTGGATAACTTGTTCCCATTTCCTTACTTTGTCAAATTCTCAGCAGTCATGTGTGATGGTCGGTTAATCCGGTGAATGTTGGTCTTGCCTTCTTCACTAACGATTTGTAGCAAATCAATAGTTTATGTATAACTTTCTGTACTTTTGAAATAAGAAGTATGTTTCTGAGAGTAAAAATTGTAAGGAATAGCTAATAGATCTGAAATTTTATACAAGTAAAGATTATAAGAAAGAAAATGCTAAATTGTCATTAATATAATTAGAGAAGGTGCAGGTGGGGTCCAAAGGCATCAAATTATGTAGTCACAAAAATAGTTAAAAGTGACTAATTAGAGTGGAATAGACATTTAAAAATAAAGCCACTTGGGGAGGATATTGTTTATTTTTTTTGCAATATAATTTTTTACCACATGCTGCAACTAGAACTTTGTAATAATCTAACGTGAAGAAATTTAGAAAATCTGAATCTAAACCTAGAATTTGAATTTAATTAATTCAAAGTTTAGCATCCCTTCACATCACAAACTCTAACTGAAATGCAGGAAGATCACTTTTAGGGCCTGTATTTAAAAAGAAAAAAATATTTACGTAATGAAAGTGCAAAATTCATCACCTTTAGAACCTTCATGATTTGATGACATCAATCCTGAACTAGAAAAAAATTCACATTTTTAAACAGAACATTAAAGTTTTTTTTTTTTATACATCAGATAGGAGTGAAAGACTTAATACTGCTCTGAACATTGATGTTTTGGAGGGTAAAATTTTAAGTTTCAGAATTAATGGAAAATTATTTTTATTTAATATTTTTTAATAAACTGATTATTGCTAATACCTTTATTCCACAGTGAATACATATGGACCATCTACTATGTGCCAGGCACTGTTCTGGGTTATTGGAATATATTAGTGAGCCAAAGTCCCAGCTTGCTTTCAGGGGAGATAGATAGTAAGCAACTAAACATAATGTCAGTTATCAACTCATTATGAAGAAAAATAATGCAGGATAAGGGGATGAATAATATTAGTTAAGGAATTTTTTTCATAGGGGTGTATCAGAATTAAAATATATACATAATATTTTTATTCTGAACCAAAACAAATTGTATTCTTGTATATGCTAGAACTATAAATCAAAAGTTCTTTTGAAAGTATTTGCTGTTTATATAGGTTTTTCAATTATAACATTTTCCCCAAATAATTTAAATTTGTAGTTTTATTGTCTTATTTGCAGTTTCTTTTAGAATAAAGAATTCAAGTACGTAAATGTTAGCCTAAAGATTTTCTACTTAAATTCTGAGGTAGCAAAGCCATATATAAAAGTGGTCTGGTGAATATTAATTTAGAAAAAGGTTTGTTTTTGTTATTGTTGTTTAAAACCATACAATTTTCCTAAACCTAGAAAGGGAACATTATATTTGTTACTTTGTGGACAATATAAAAACATGATTAGCATTTTCATTTATACTTTTTCAGTTGTTTTCAAGTTCTAAAATTGTTTACTTAAAGATGTTAAAGACTCTGTTAGCATATTTTTGAATGACTCCCTTCTGTCTCCTGTCCTGTTATCCTAGGCTTCTATTTTTCATACAGTTAGATTGTTTTAGACATTTATAGAACCACACTAATTTGTTTCATTTTTTCTTTTTACTATTTCTTTCTGTTGGTGACTAATTAATAAATTTAGATAAATTAAGAGAGTGATTAAATTAAACCGATGGAAGGAAGAAACAGTCCTAAAGTATATACAGGTTTAGGCTTCTTACCAGTAGCATTTTGTCAAGGGGTACGGGTGAAAACATTTCTCCATTGCCCCATGACTTCGGCTTGTATCTTACCCTACATCAGGGAGTATTCAAAATTGGACAGACATAATCTGACACGGTAATGTGGTTTTCTTCACAAGATGGCGCTAATATAGTTTCTTTGATTTTAGTTTCTATCCTGAGGACAAATTTGCAGTGCATTAACTGTCACAGAGAAGTAGAAATGTGATTTATGGTTTATGATTTGTGCATTTTATTTCATGTTTTGTCATATAGAATGTTCTATCATGTTTCAGAATTTAGGAAAAAATTGGGATGTAGTGTTGATGTGCAGGGAGAAGTAATTGCAATGTGAAGGGAGCAATACATATATCTGTAAAAATTGTCTCCTATCACATTTGAGTCTTTGTTCAGCCCTGGTTTTTTGTTATATTCATAGGTAGTCAATGCTGAATGTTTTTATCCTTTACATTTAGATACCATCTGTGAATGTAAAAATTATCTTTTTTAAAAGAATGTAAACATATATGTATTACATAACATGAATATAAATATACATAATATGTTAAGTCTGTACATTTTTTATTTGGGGAAGGTACAAACACATGCAAAAGGTAAACAATATTATAATAAATCCCATGTACCTATTGCATAGCTTTAGCAATTATCAACCCATTGCCAATATTAAATCATCAGTACTTTTCCCTCTACCTTTCCCCATTTATTTTGAAGCATATCCCTGCATATATACATAGTATACACATTCACAATAAAATGTGCTATCTTACCTCAAAAATAATGGTATGAACAAAATATTTAGAGTCAAAGGAATGATTAATTCTGTCAAGAGGTCAAATTCAGAGAAGCCTTTGAAGAAGAAATGACATTTGACCTATACCTTGAAGGATGAATGGGAATTTGTCAGATGGAGAATAGAAGAAAACACATTGTAAGCATTAGTGTCTTATTAAGAGAGGGGTGCAAGTGTGAAAATACATGAATGAGTGGAGAACAGAGAATAATGTATTTGAATATTGAGGAATTTTGGAGGAAGTTGCAGAAGATAAAACTGAGAGAATGGTCTGTGGTTATATTTTATAGGACATTTGAGAAATTAATAACTATAGTTTTCCTATCCAAAAATACTTTTCTATATCCTTTTAAATAATATATAAATTACTTTTTTATGTTTTGTAGATTTATGACAAAGTCCAGTTTTCAACAATGCTGAAGTCAAATAACTGCTTATTTTCTTTGGAAAATTGGTTTTTTGAAAAACCAGGTGAAGTTGAAAAGTAAGTCTGTCTTAAAGAATGATAACATAGTATATTTTTAGAGGGCTATTTTCTCCAATTTTAGGGAGTTTTAATTTTCTCTCTGGTAAATAAAAAATGAAAGATCAACAGAATGATGTTTCAGTTATATATTTGGTAAACATGGAATTCAGATATAAGAGAATAACTGAAGTTTAACATTTTGAATATTATAATTTTTTAAATAGAATAGATTTTTACCTCTTTGGCTTCCATTTATTTGTATTTCTGGTTTGTTCAAATTATTTTTGGCCAAGATAAAGACTGGAAATAATAGTCAAAGAGTAGCTCAGGACAAGGAATGATGGTACCTTTTGGAAACAGAATGGGCAGTGTGCCAAAGGCCAAGTATGATAGTGCAGGCAGGAAGTAGGGGTGGAAATAAGATACGAGACTAAAGGAAACGAGAGAGTAGGTAGTCTGTTAAATACTGGATTTTATGGATTTTCACATGTGAATTGCTCTCAATTCTGAATTTTCTATGTATTTGTCTATGCTATTAACATATTTTAATGAAGCATATTTATTGCCTCATTCTTTCATTTATT